AATCCTGGCCTCCTCTTTTTTTTTTTTTTTTTTTTTTTTTTTTTTTTTTTTTCTTTTCTCATGATATAGAACATGGTGCCATGTCTTTTGCTTGCTTTTACTGGAGTTGAGTTGATTACCATATGGGAGGTTTACTTTTCAATTTAGCTTTGATTTGCTTTTGTTTCTTTTCCACGTCCTTGTCTTACACTTTTTGTTCTTTCGGAACGAAAAGAGGAGTGAAAGGGCGAAGGATATCCAAATATATAAGGATGGCTAATGTGAATGGATTGGAGTAATGGATTTGTTTTCTATGGGCTTTGGGCTGGGTTTCTGGAAATATATCTTGTTAACTTGAGCAAATCTTGTACATTATTCAATGAATACCAACTCAGCAGACCATATATCTTAGATCAATTATCATGATTGCGCTTGTATCTATGCTTATGGCCAGAAAAAACATTCGAAATATTTTAATATACAACCCAGACGAGATCAGAAACATAAAACATAAAATAAACCTCGAAGAAAAACAAACTCAAAAAGATATCTGGTAGGGGGAATTAGCTAAATTCCCATTCTGAATGCAATATCGAAGCGAAAGATAACAAAAGATTCCAACCGACGGATTTACGCAGAAGCTTCATTCGCGGCAGCTGGTCGACTGACGAGAGATGCCTGTTGCGCTTGTTGTTGGTCTGGCTGCGACTGCTCGATTACGTGCGGGCGCCATCGGGCTAGGATTTTGCCTGCGGATGGGCGGGATTCCTCGTCTTTTGGGTTGTCAGCTTGGCGAGTTGGTTTTGGTGCATGAAGGGAGAACTTACAGGTACGGTAGACGTCTTCGAGTGCGTTTAGACAGATTTCCCGTGCAGGAAGACGGAACATGATGAGGTACCTGTCAAGTCAGTCATATGTCGAGTCAAATGGAAAACAAGGGGAAAGGACATACAACAACGACTGGACACAAAGATTCACACGTTCCGGATCCTTCGCCAAACTCGCGACCCTTTGAGTAATCGGAATAGTAACCTCGGGGATCTCACTCAAAAACCGGATGAAGATCTTAGTATCCCGCGAGTCAAGATACGGCAGGAACCCATCCAGCAATCGCAACACCCAGTGATCATAGTGCAGTGGTACTGTCGGCGCCTCATCATCGTCCTCGTCGCCCCGCTGAGACGCGGCGAACTTCATCTGGATCCGGTCGTTGTACCATTCCTCGTTGAGCCATGTGACGCCAATGCTTACGCGGAATCGGAAGTCTTCGAGAATGTAGCGGTAGAGTGTCTCGCGTATTGAGTTTGAGATCGCTGGTTTTCTGTTCTGGCCACCGCTACCTGCTAGTTCGAGACCAGCTGGTGCCCGTGTAGCAAGTCTGGTGAGGAGTGTGATCCAAGCATCATGATCGAATGTGCTTCCTGCCAACCGCGCAAAGCCAAGCTGTTGCTGTGTCCTGTTTTGGACTGGTTTCGAAGCTACTTCCGTCGATGCCAGCATCTCGAATACCCGTCCAACGGCATTTCGACCGATCTCGCCGGCTTCGTCTTCGCTGAGCGGTGGGGGTTGCGGTAATACGAATGGACCGAGGGATACTAGATCGGGTTGTTGGAGATCTGCTACTTCTGTCGACACGGCGTCTGCTTGCTCAGCGGTTTCTGGGACGTCCATGGGTTGGTATTCGGGTTCGTAGTCATCGTCTTCTTCCTCCGCGGCGGGGGCGTTGGCAGCTGCTGATTGTCGTTCGGCGGCTTGCTGTTTGGTGACGGTTTGATATCGGATTCGGACAGCCTGGATTGCAGTTAGAATTATATCACGCCGTAGAATTCGCAGGGATACATACGTCCATAGCCTGAGTCATGACCGACTGGTCAACACGAGAAAGGAGAGGAACCACGATCTTAACTAGAAGGTCGATGGGCAATTGCTTAACATCGAATGATGAGAGCCCAGCATCTTCGGTAATCTTAAAGAGCTGCTGGTAGCTTATCGGGCCTGGCGGCAGAGGAGGAATCTTGAGTAACGGGGGCATTTGCGCATCGAGCCTTGCCCGTTTGGCGCTATCCAGACCATCTGTAGGCTCTGCGGGCAACCCGCGCTTCCGGGACGCATCGTCGGCAACTTCTAGGCGTGACTGCATCAGACGTTCAATGTGTTGCTGCATCTTACCCGTGAGAGGGTGGTTTGGATTTCTGTCCAGTCATTAGCTTTGTTCCGTTTTAAGTAGCTCCAAGACGTCTCACCTCTTGATAATGTTGATCAACAAGGCTCTAGCCGTCCGCTCCATTGACTTGACACCAACTCTGATGACTGCGGTCAAAGGCCCCTGTACTTGTCTTGCGGGATAGAAGTTGAGAACAGCATTGACGATTTTGCTGCCAACAGATTGGCGGCTTCGAATGAGGACTGCAAGGCAGTTCAGTGTCGCGTTCACAAGGAGGGGGTCGCTTGATTCTTCCTGGAAGACGGAGAGAAGTCGATCAAGCAGACCGGAAGCCTCTGCTTCCAGATGTGGTAGGGCCAGGACGGGGTGATTCTTGGGGACAATGGCTAGAGAGGTTTCATTTTGTTCGGGGCGCTAGGTGAAGTCAATACTGGCCCTTTCCAGCAAGATTGAATATAACGTACTCTGGGGTCAGAGATTGTGCCGTGAGTCTGGACCTGAACAACCCGCTGCGCAAACTTGATGCAGCAGATCTTGACCGGGTACGGATACGAATCCCATTGCCGCAGAATATCCTGCTTAATCGCAGTCATCCGCTCCCAAGCACCAGTATCTTCCGGACGATTTATGCTATGATTTCCACGCGTCAGTAACCATAATCCTTACCCCCATCTTCCAAGACATCTACGATATCAACTCCCCTAGCCTAGGAAGAAAAAGAACCTACATATGCCTGAAGACCAACGGATATATACTAGCCGCAGTCTCCACGCTATGCTTCAGCACCACCGTATCCCCATCCGGCAGCCCCAAAAGATCATGTATCGTCTGCAGCACGTTGGCCGCCAACTGTTCCTTCTGAGCCGACGCCAGCACGGGACTTGCGAAAGTCTCCGCTAGGAATTCCGCGCCCCATCGTCGCAGTTCCAGTCGCGAATTCGCCCCGATGAGTGGGAGGATACCGTTCACGATCTGGGGGTAGAAGGCGGCGTCTCCAAGAACCAGGGTGCGAGCGGCGTTGAGTTGGGCGATTTGACCCGCGAGAGGGTCTGCGGGGGGATCCATGGGCGAAGAGTTATCGGAGGTGAAGATTTATGGCCGTCCGGTAGTTTGGGATCGGTTGTGAGGGCTGATGTAGTCGTGAGGGTCGTTCTACGCAGGAGACAGCTCAGGAACCTCGGCGCATGAGCTTCACGGCTGTACGACAGACGCGCAGGGTCCAGATGGCAGAGTAGAAGGGACGGGGAAAAGGGAGAAAAGGAAGACGAGGGAATTGAAACAAAATAGATTAATAACAAGAAACAAACCCAACCAGAAAGCAGAGTAAGAAAAGACTACGAGGGGCTGTGGTGGTCGAGACGAGAACAGCCGGAACTTGAAGCGATACTGAGAGCAAATCACGCTAGTCCGGTTTGGGTTAGCGGATTTGTTTTATAGCTCTTCAGCACCAGAACGAATAGCAGTGATATTGATAAGTATGAGAGAGCTATTCTAAGATAAATGGCTCCCTTATATTACTTCCTGTTGTACTTATGTAGAACACACTTAAGACTCCTATATAGTAGTATGCTGTCAGGCTATTTGCAGACCGCGCCAAGACCGGCTCCATCTCCGCCGGCCATCTTCCATTCGAATCTCCGACCAAAAAAGACATTCCCTTCTTTCCCCAAGTCTCTCGTTCAGTTAATACCCCTTCGCATCCCGCTCGAAACCAAGAAATAGAGGGAACCACTCCCATCTATCCAAAATGCCCGCCGGAATGTACGTCCCGCCCATATCCCATCCATCGCATCCTCATCGCATCCCGCAATTCCGGCCCTGACTGACTCGATGCAATAGTTTCAACTCGACATACTACGGAAAGGACTACCGCGCCGGTGCGGCCCTTCTGCGTGCTCGTCGGCCGTACCTGGTTAAGAATGCGGTGACCGGGTTGGCGCTTTGTGGAATCACGGTTGGTGTTTGTATGTGGTTCGATCCCGATATTCATCTATGCGGAGGGGTTGGAAGGGGAGGGGAAATGATACCAGGACCCCTTGGCTCTGATATACATGGACAAAACATGAAGATAATGACACAAGCTAATTTCAATCGCCTATAGACGCTTACACCCTCCGCGCCGTCGGCCAGGAAGACTTCTCCGATGTCCAGGTCCCCGATACCCCCGCCGAGCCGAAGAAGCAATGATTGTATTCGAACCTGCGTCTCTTTTCTATGAATGAAGCGAGTGTTATTCGGATATTCTACGGGATAAATGGTGTAATGGGGTAAAAAGGAGTATATGGGGACAATTATGCATTCCTTTCCATCATTTTCAATGGGATTTTTTGTACGGAGATACAATATCCAGGCTTCTACATGTCGATGTCGGGGTTAGGAAGTCAACACGAGCCGCTGCGCAGTGCTCAAGGGCCCTGGTAGCTTGGGGCAAGAAGATGGCTCCATACCTCGACTACGAGACACGAGACGAGATACCTCCCGGCTCCTTTTTTGTTATCTAGATCTGTACAGTATGTGTTATTGATATCCTATCAATTTTTCTGTTCCCAGCTTGACTTGAGCTATTACACTACGGGGGTCCCTCTACCTTAGCAACTCATTAGACCTGGAGAAAACAATTTTATATATTTGCCTATTCACGAAATGCAACGAGAACCAGGATGAAAAAGGCAAGAAAACCTTCTATACCACTTGAACTAATCTTTTTTACTCGGTTCTCAGAACACGAGGGCCTCGTCTCTTAATAGCTCGCTTACGCTTTTGGCCTCGGTCAAAGGCCGCAGCGCTCATGTGGTCACGGTCAAAATTGTCAAGATCCTTGACCTTGTAGATCCGGATGATCCAGTTTTCACTGGTAAAGGCCTCCTCCATCGTCGACAACTGGGGTCCTTCGGCGGGAAGTCTCACACCACGAACACGGTCGATGGCCTGACCTTGCTGGAAGAGGGAGTTGTAGTTGTAGTAGGACATCTTGTACCTGTAGATCGCGGGTGATTAGCAGCTGTTTCACGCACTGTTACATAGGGCAGGGTTTCTTACATCAAGCTGTTGCGCATGGTGGGAGTGGCCTGATCATCAACACGGTACTCGCCACGAGAAGTGAAGAAGTCACGCTCCTTGACCTCGTCGGGCCAGATACCTTCGGCGATACGGACCATCCACAGGAATTTGTTGAGATCGTCACCAGAGTATCCGAGCAGACCACCGAAAACGACAAGCACGTAATCGACATCGTGTTGGCGGAGGATTGGGTAGCTGACTTCCTCGGGGGAGCTCATGGCCTTTCCAACGGTGGCAATGTGCGTGTTGTTCCAGGTGTTGTTGTCCACGAGAGTTGGACGATCAGCCATACCACCAATCTGGTAACCGTAGTCCCACCAGGACGCAATCTTGGCGTTTTGAGGAGTGTTCTGACGCAGCCAGTAGTAGGCCTCACGGTAGTCGTCAATGAGGAATTGGCTTCCATCAGGGAGTCGGCTAGCCAGAACAACAGACGGCGACGAGTAGGCGTTCGAGGTGACCCAGGTACAGTGGGCAACGAAAAGCAGAAGGTAGATCACGACAGACGATGTCACGATAGCCTTAGAGGCGTAAGAGTAAATTCCAACAACAGGGGAACGGCTCGAACGGAGGGGCTCGGAAGACGACTCGGTTGACTTAGCCTGAGCCTGGCTCGGCGAGATGGTAACATAGGTGTCGATGATGTGGGAGAGGGCCAGAGCAGCCCCAACACAAACGATAGGCGTCAGAGTCAGCATCAGACGAACCATGACACCTGCGAAGTAACTGGCAAGGACACCATAGATGACGACAAAGACGTGTTCGTCCTTCAGGTCACGGAAGCAAATGTAGACACCGGCGGGGAACAGCCAGATCAGGAAGTTCAGGTCGAAGAAGAATGCAGGCCAAGCGGTTGGCTGGTGCTCCGAAACGGACGCAATGATGGGAATGTGGATCTTGGCATAGCTGGTATCCCACAGCGAGTAGAAACGGCCACTCCATGGCGCAATGACTCCTGAAATTGAAAGCAGAGAGAGACCAATAAAGCCAATAGCGACGGTGATGATGATCATGCTGGTGAGCAGTTTCTGGAACTGTTTGGTTGGCACATAGCCTCGAATGAATTCAGCAAAAGCCACGAGCTGGAGCAACCCAAAGATACCTGGACATTGCATTAGCAAACTAATTTCTCTTGAATTCCAACACCACCGCAACTTACCAAAGGCGGACATGTGGTCGCTGTTTCGAATCGGCAAGAAACCAACAAACGGAATCTGCATACTCGCCAGAGTTCCCAGAGCATACCATGTGGTATAGCTAATGTAGAGACGAGTGCTGTACCTTCCCATACACAAAAGGACGAAAATGTGCAGCGGAATCAGGTTGGTAATGAAAACATATCCACCCCAAGCCGAAACCATGTATCCGTAGGATAGCGCTGTCAGGGCTCCATACATGATGGAGCCGTTCTTGACAGCCCGGATCCACAAGAAGAAGGTAAAAACGAGCAGGAAGATGGCGATTGCTTCGTTATCATAGCTACCGGCGACAGAGCGGGAGATGTATCCGGGGACAATTCCCATGAAAGCAGCCGCAAGAAGACCTGCAGACGGAGACGGAGACATCTCATTGGTCAACAGGTACATTGCGAAGGCCGTCAGACCAGAGAATGCAGGCGCGAGCAGAACACAAATGTTGCGGATATCGACTGGAAGCGTGAGGAAGCGCAGGAGATGGTAAATCGCGCCGCTAGTCACCATCAGACCGGGGTAAAGGGTGCCACCAGTGACACGTCCCAGGGGATGCCATGTGCCTTGATGATCGAAGAGAGCAGCCGTCAGTATAGCCCTTCGTGTATCCATTGGCGGCTGTATGCCACTTACGGTCGTCAAACCAATCCCAAAAGCTATGGAAGCCATTCTCAACCAGGTATTTTGTTGCCCGGAAGTTAAACCAGGGGTCGACTAAGACACGGAGATCACATTATTAGCATTTTCGAGTTCCTTTTCAACGTATGAAGCTGTAGTGCGATTGCAAGTGCAGGATTCGAGGCATAATATAGGGAGTAGACGGATTGGACACGCATACATTCATGGATGATACTCTCGAAACCTGATAAGCAGAAACCATTAGCAACTCGGTCAATTGAACTCGCAATTGCATCTCTCGAAGGATCCTAGTTCCCAGAAACATACGGATAACACTGAAAAGACGACTGGACACTGCGGCCGCTGCGATAGTAAATAGAATGATAATGCGCAGAAGGCCGCGTGTGTTCTTGCCGGAGCTGCCCTTCAGCAGAGCATCAACGGGTGCGTCGGCCATAATGGCCAGGCAAGGAAAAGAAGGACGAGATGCCAATAAGAAACGGACAAAAAAGAATGGCCTCTTCGTCCAGTATGGCCACTCCGATGGGGGGTGAATGAGAGGTTGTTGTAGGGTTAAGATGGTGTTGGTTGCAAGGTGGTCTCAGTTGAAGGTCGCTCTCTTGGCACCAGGTACGCAACTCTCCGCTCCCCGCACGGATAGCTTCATCTCACTACCATACTTACGCTGAGAGAGAGCTCACTTTTTGAGACATCTTGCCTACAAAAACGACACGCTCTTTATAAGACTGAATACACGATGGATCTACCGCCTCTCTCCCAAGAACAGCTCTCGTTGATCCTATCATCCGCTGCGACGCCGTCCAAGCTCTATGACACACTATCGCAGTATGAGGGCCAAGTTCTTCTTTTGGCAGACAGCAACGGGGATCCGGAACTATTAAGCTTATTCTATTCCTTCTTTTTATTTTCGCACCTTCTCATTGAAGAACTGTATGTGGTTCTGGTCGTCGGAGCTTGGACATCAATGCGCTAATACGATAGCAAACAGTTCCGAAGCCCGCATGTTGACGAAGCGAATTCCACAGAACCTAGTCGCGAATAACTCTCTACTGCAGAATTGCACGATCCTCCTGCGCGCGGTCTGGCAGAAAAGCCACGATCATATTTACCGGTACCTCAGGGGATTGCCGTGGCCAGAGCCACTCCAGCCGTTAGTGCAAAGATATGAGGGTAAGTAAGCAGTGCCCGGACCATAACCTTATCGCATTGACTTACACCAGTCTCTAGCGTATTTCCAAAACAAGACCTTAGAAGAACTCAGCTACACTTACGAGGCGATCAGACCTGAAACGGCAGCAAGTTATCTTGGGCTCGATTCCGTCGCTGCACAGCAGGGCAATTCCGACATAATCCAGAAGTTCACGGACTGCGGGTGGAAATGGGATGGGGAGGCTAAGCTGCTACATCCGAAACCAATTGCTCTAGCTCATGGTCCAGATGATCGTCAAGTCAAAGGATTACGTGAGGTCATGGCGCTCCTGGGAAAGAGTTGAGACGGAGATTTGAAGACACAGATACCACATACGTTAAGCATCTTGGACTCTACCCATCGCATCAAGACTCAAGGCTGTCCACTCTCCCGAATTCTCCAGGATAATTGTTCATAAGGCATTGGATTGGGACCAACAGCATTGGGCACCGGGCATTGACAGAGCAAAACAGGCCAGTGGAAGATCAGAGTGGGACAATAAAACAAACACTTGCTTTCTCTGGTTTAACTGTAGTGTACATAGTACAGCCGCACAACAGCCCAGGGTATGTACAAGATTCAGAGATAATGTCTAGTAATTAAAAGAGAACAAAAGAGAAAAAAAAAACATTCCTTCTTTTCGCTCGCAAAGACACGACTCTGGGAATTATACCAAACAAATAATACACAACGGGGTGAAGCCCGTACCGTACCCTGGGGAGGCACGATCTTTGCACTGAAACGATAATTGCCAACTCTTCCTCATTGCATGTTCAACCGTCAGTCATCTCCATGATCCGTTTACTCCCCGAGCTTCGCCTTCAAGTAGGCCTCCAAGTCAAACCGGTTGTCCGCGGGATCCGAAATAACTGCACGGGAGATAATCAGTTAGCTCGTCTGTCCCCCTCCCCCTCTTCCAAGATTGCGCAAGATGATGGGATGCCGGATCGCATTCGAATTGCCGGACCGGAAAACATACCTCCACTGGTTTGTGTCTGGGGCTGCTGAGGTGTGGTCTTCTTCTTCCATTCTGCCTTGGCCTGCTCGATCAGGGCTGCTTTACGGGCATATTCACGGTCGGCCTCCGCACGTCTAGCATGGGAGTTAAGCGAAGATTGGTGGTAGACACCGTACGCAAGACCGGCAGCAAGAGCCGAATAACGGAGAACCTGTAGAACAACATGTGGTCAGCCCACTAACCATTGCCGGGTCCCAGCGGACGGGTGAGAAGACAAGCAACGCAACACTCACATTAACACCCTGCGAAGTGGACATTTTGCGAAGACCCCTGGCTTCCGGAGCGGCAATGAAGAAGACAAATCAAATATAAAAAGAGCCGGGTCGCTCGTAAGGGGTATTCGACCGGTTCGATAATTGGCAATTCCGGGGCAGAAACACAGTGATCCCAAGAGACGTTCTCGTTAGGGAACGACGAAGTCCCTGTACGCGAGTTTTTCCGGTCCCGTCCGCCGTCCGTTTCGCTGCTGCTTATGTCATCCGCCTGTCCGGAGTGCGGACGCGGGAGTGAACAAAACAACCAAGTCCGCTATCTATATCGACAGGGCATTCTGGAGATCTACTCAACATGTCGTCCATGCAACAGCGCAAAGCCGAGATTCTCGCCAAAAGAGCCAAACTCGCCGAATTGAAGCGCCAAAGGGAATTGCGGCAGCAGGAGTTTAGCCTGAGCAGGGCTAACAGCGGAGAGGCTTCAGAGGTATGGGTTACTCCTTAAATGGCTTATTTTTATCTCTTGATAGATTCCTAACCGTTGTCGCCAGGTTGTATCGCCCGTACCAAGCCGCTCAGACAGCAGAGCAGAGCTCGATGACTTGATCGCCCGTCTCGTCGACCGCCCCGATGGAACAGATGGCACGTCGCGGAAAGACAGCAGACCGAATTCGGTGCTGAGCGCCAGCCAGCTAAGCGGAGAGAACACAGAGTCTTTTGCCCCGTCCACGCGACCGACTTCTACATCAATTGCCGTTCAAACAGTTTCCGCGGAGGCTTCTGTGGCTGCCCCTGAATTACCACCGGCTCCCACACCCAGACCAGAAGTCGTCACTTACAGCAAAGGCATACAAACAGACGATCTGGCAGGACCACAATCGGATTCTGAAAGCGAGGTGGAATCGGAGAGCGGTGATCCTCGGGATCCTACGCAGCCCAAGCGCCGGAGTAAGAAAGATCGTCTGCGCGATGAGGAAATCCGGAAGAAGCTTCGCGAGGAAATCGAGGAGGAAATACAGGCTACTCAGGCATTGGCGGATGAGGACGCCGCTAATCAGTCGTCGCAACTACGATACCCCCTACGTACTCTGGAGGAGGATGAACTAAAGGCGGTTACCTCTTCTGAAGACTTCTTGGACTTTGTGGACCGGTCAGCAAAGGTTATTGAGCGTGCACTTGACGAAGAATATGATGTTTTGGCGGACTATGAATTACGAGGAATCGATGGTGACATGGAGGAAGATGAAGAGCACGGAAAGAGGAGAGGAATCAAGGAGGTTTGCCAGTTCTGGGATGAGCGGTGGAGCAAGAAGCGTATGATTAGCGACTTGAGCTTCTCTCCAAAGGTCTGTGAACCGCATCTACTCCTCCATTAACAAAAACTGACTGTCATATAGTTCCCCGAACTGGTTCTGGCCTCTTACACCAAGAACCCTTCGGCCCCTCACGAGCCAGACGGTCTCGTCCAAATATGGAACCAACACTTGCACTCCCGACCGGAATACGTGTTTCACTCGACATCAGACATCTTGACGGCCAAGTTCTCTCCGTTTCACCCTAACCTTATTGTTGGCGGATCTTATTCCGGCCAGGTCTTGCTATGGGATACTCGTTCGTCGCGCGCAGGCGGGGGTGCGCCTGTACAGAAGACGCCGCTCACCGGCTCCGGACACGCCCACCCAGTTTACAGCATCTCGATCGTTGGTACACAAAATGCTCACAACATTCTGACTGCATCGACCGATGGAGTTGTCTGCGGATGGACAGTCGACATGCTCTCCCAACCGCAGGAATACCTCGAACTAACGTCCATCCCGCCATCCAAAACCGAAGATATCGCACCTACTACCATGTCCTTCCCGCAATCCGACCCAACCTTCTTCATTGTAGGTACGGAAGACGGAGGAATCTATCCATGCCACCGCTACGACCGAGCCGGCGCAAAGGCAGGTACGGACCGTCGTCTAGCGTACCGCGGTCACACAGCACCCATCATGTCGACAGCATTCCACCCAGCCCGGGGTCCAGTTGATCTCGGTGATCTGATGCTGAGTTCGAGTCTGGACTGGAGTGTCAGGTTGTGGCGCGTGCGCCCACCAGCAACCACCGCATCTGCTACATCCATCGCCGCAGCCACCCAAGTGGTATCTCCCATCCTAGACATCAACCGTGAAGATATTGTCTACGATGCCAAGTGGTCGCCCCACCGCCCCGGTGTCTTCTCCCTCGTCGATGGTGCTGGCCACCTCGAAGTTTGGGATCTCTACACAGACACCGAAGTCCCCGTTGTGCGGGCTACGCCGTCCACTGGTCGCGCCGGCATCATCACCCGCAGTTTGAACAAGGTTGCTTGGGAAGAGCGTGAGGGACGACGTCTGGCAACAGGTGGGCTCGATGGTGTGGTTACCGTCTTTGAAGTCGGGAAGGGACTCAGCGGTACGCCGGAGGATGTATCTTCTGAGGAGTGGACTGGGATGAAGCGGTTGGTTGGGAAGTTGGAGCAGAAGGATAAAGTGGGTTGAATTGCGTGCATATCATTTTTGTGGCATATATCCTCGTTGACTGTACATGTCATTCACGTAATGTTTTTACCATCATTATTATTAGCTTAGCATATACCCCTTGGTCATGTACTTCTATCCATCTTATTATACATTTGAAGACCATACTCCGTAACTCTGTTTCGATGGAGACATGGTTCCTCAGAAGTAAAGTCTCACAAAGAAAATGAGGGTTTCAGCCACAATAATTGTCGGGGCAGCGCCAACATTCAAGGGTCGACCATGTGAATATATTTATCCGCGTCAGTATCTGCTGGCGAATCTCGTCCCATTTGTTGTATATCGAATCTTCGGGGAGAATTTGTTATAATGATTTGCGATGCTCTGTATCCGGTGGTTTGCCGTCCTTAATCACTTCAGTAACCATGGCGCAAGGCATTGATATCGAGCTGCTGCATATTTACCACATTTCTTATCAACTAGCCTAGCAAGCTATGTAATCACTGCCTTGTTTCATCGGAAATGGCCTGGGTCGGATCTGCTTGGCATCTGGGAGTATAGTAAGTACTTCACCCGATCTTAGGGCCCAGAACCTCTAAAGCGAGTGTTCAATGATTCGACAATGGCCAGTGCCCAGTGCCTCAAGATCTCAAAAATTTCTCGAAGGCATTTATCCAAGAGGGTGACAATAAGCGTGCTAGTCGCACATAAAAAAAAAAAAAAAAAAAAAAATTCTTACTCCCCAATATACCCATAGGAAGGACTCCTGGTCACCATTACCGGGATTGAAGAATTCCATGTCCTCAACAGGAGATCAATAGCGATGGAAGATTACCAGGACTGTACTTACCGATGGATTTTTCTGCGTCTCGTCCTGGGAGAAGAAAACCGGCCCATTTCTCCATGGCATTGGGCAGTCTTGGAGGGTTGCTAAGGCAGTCTCGCAGTTCTCGAGGTAGAATTGGCGGGTTGCAGTTGCATGTCCTCTGTCTTAGATAATGTAGAGCTAGGTCTTTTCAGATATACCATCGCACAGTAAGATGCCATGAAGGACAGCGAGATTACTCCAAGCGGAAGAACCATTAGTAACTCCAGCACACTATGTATGTGAACAAGGCCTTCTCCTCAGATAACTTACCTTTGTCTAGCCATAATGACGAGACATGAAGGGAGCGTCCCTTAGTTTGTCCCCAAACCAGGTCCTCAGCAGGGGCACGCCTGCAGTCATGTCTAATGCGTGGGTCTCCTCGCCCAGAGACTGATGAATAAATCACGATCAGGTTAGAATTCATATACATCTTGCAAATATGGATACTTTCCGCTTCTCCCGTGTGAAAAGGTGACTATGTGTTAAATCAAGAAGTTAGTCATGTGTTTTTTAAATTAGGTGATCATGGGGTTATATATATACCAGAAACCATGCCTTCTGATCGGTATCCTCGCGGACCACCATAAAGCATCATTGAGTGTGCATGTAAAACTGGCCAGCTCTCACTACAGCCCGTCTCAATAGCAACATCCATTACGAAATGACGATGTTGTTTAGGCAGTAAGCAAAGATCTGGCTCTTTGCCGGACGACTGGTACCCTCCGAAAAAACCTCGAAAGGCCGTTTCAAAGTAAGCTTTCATCTTCTAGATTGGGACCAAGTACTCCGTACTTGCTGAATCTTAAGAGAACCCAGTGCCAGAACAACCACTATATCCTCGGCGTCGCCACTAATCAAGCAGTTGATACATGTTTCATGGGGAAGCGCATTATGAGGGCAAACGAAAAAAAGTTCATTGGTACCTCATTCCTTTTGGTTGAATTAAATAGAAGCAACGTATTTATTGAAGCGTGCAGTCACTTCATTGAGTTAGAAGTCTTTCATCATAGTGCAGTGAATGTTTTAGCCATTGGACTGTTGATTGAACCAAAGCGTTGAGCTCGATTTGCAATCCCGAGGTGCCTTCTGAAACATGGAAGATGGTAGACAGCTTCAATGCCCTTCGACGTGCACGATTGACTTGTAGGAATCTCAGTGGGGATGGTAAAAGACTTGATATTATGCTAAATGGTAGATGGATGATGATGGTAAGAAAGATGAAGTAAAGAAAATATAGTGTACGGAGATATTACCTTGAATGAACTGGCCGTCCTGTGAATGCAGTATCGATTTGACCAGGCTTGGAAAATAACCTATAGCATATGAAGGAATAATTAGGTCAAGCTCGCTGTATATAATTTCGTATTTAAACCAGCTACGCCATTCCAACTTTGGGGTCAAAAGGATGTGGGTAGAAATGCATTCCATAATTTCATTTCTCGTCATATCCATAAGGTGACATCTATAACATGCTTCGTGTCTATTCTATCAATAAGTATACTTGAAAGTTGCCTGCAAAGGTCAGTATTCATGTCCTAGTGATGCAGGACGTAGAAAGACTTACTGTTTCTTCTCGAATCGCCCTCCGATTACACAGAAAAAAGTACACCGTAAACATAGCCACCATCCCAATCATGAGAATATGCGAGCCCACAGACACCCACACAGCAGTCGGATACTGTGGCGCCTCTTGTTGCCTCACAATATAACTCCCTGCTACACCTCCAAGTCCATTGCACGCTGCAACAGCGGCCGCCACTGTTGCTCGCTTCCATTGACCCACAATATTGTTGGCCATGAATGCGTTCAATGCCGCCCAGTTGGAGACGTATGCGCCGGTTGCGAGGAAGGTGCCGATGTAGCGGACTGTAACTTGGGAGGGGATACCGAGCATTAGGAAGCCGGCGATGAGGCAGAAGGAGTTGAAGATAATGAGGGGGCTGCGGACGCGGTAGGCGTCTCCAATTAGCGAGGTGAGCAGAACGGGGATAACGGCCCAGTAGTAGGGCTGCTTGAGTTAGCATTGACATTGGTGTAATCAAGGGAACGAGCATACCGGAGTGGACAGGATAATGGATGCATTGCTGGAGAATCCCATGCCGGATTGCAAGATGATAGGGAGGAAGTAGCTCAAGGAAGTTGACACCAGGTTCAGCAGAAAGAACATGACGGAAAACCCATAGAGCTTGGGATCCGCAAAGCACACCCAGACCTTGCTCCATGAGAACGGTTCCGCGACGACATCGCCACGATCATGCTGAACCCGCTGAAATGCTATGTAGGTCTCCCTCTCTGTCAGAAAATGAAAGCTGCGATGCGCATGCTCCGGAAAGTCAATCATCCACCAATACGTGCCGATGCCAATCACACAGGCGATAAGGCCCTGAACGAGAAACATCCAGCGCCAGCCTGCCAGCCCGCCCTTCCCATCGAGGTGATTGAGTGCGTAATTGACAATGTTACCCGTAGCCAACCCGAGCACTTCGCCGGATTGCATCGCAGCGAAGCGAAGCTGCTGCTCGCGCCGGGTGTACCAGACGCTGACGAGATAGGTCATAGATGGATAAATTCCGGACATGGCAACTCCCAACAGCACGCGCAGGGCAATCATTTGTCCCCACGTGTGAACGAAGGCCGTGCAGAGAGTAATCAGACCGAAACAGACCGTGGTGGACGAGAGCCAGAGACGCGGCCCGACGAGACGCACGGCCACAGTGCTGGGAAGCTTAAAGACCACATTGACAATGGTAAAGATGAAGATGGAAACAGAGTATCGTGTGCCGTGAAGATCCAGGTCCTCGAACATGGTGGTGACAGAGGCTGAAGAGAGGATGCCCGAGTCGAGGAGATTCAGACAGCACAATGTACCTGCGATTGTACAGAGACGAATGTCAATTTTGAGTCGGACCTTTTTCTCAAGACTCGTTAACTCCTCCGGTTGGAGTCTGCTGTAGACATCGTTGCTGATAATTGTCCCGTTCCTGTTTCCCACCGGCGCCTCGAAGGGATGGTCTTGTTTGGCGGTGTTATCGAAATGAGACTCAGCGGTGTCCATCATTCTTCTTGAATTGATGAGAATGAAGAGGAATTCTCATGAAAGCGAGCAGCAAGGCTGAGGCCTTAAAATAAAAAGAAGACTCGAGGGATGCACGCTGGCATTATCACTAATCGGTGTGCATGCATTGATAGACGGGCAAGCTGCAACATTCTGACCGCAGAGATTTCGAGTTGATTGTGATAGTGGGCCAGCTGAAAAAGCAAGATAAACTCAAAGTCGATGCTGGAGGGATCAATACAAGCCAAATAGCCCGGTGGATTACTACTTGTACGTCCTTAGTCCGCGCTGATCCTGCGCTGATCCTATGCTGACCTGGTCGGAGTATTACAGTACCCAACTACAATGATACATACACAATTGTGATGGTGATAAAGTAACGTAATTCCCGAGCCATCCGGCTATCCATCCATCTACCATCTACTTTATTGGCATATTTATCAACCACAACGCAGTAATATTGACTATATTATCTCTCTGGACAGGCATTTGATCTATGCCCTATATTTCTGCATTTTCCACATGTCGGTAATCTGCACCTTTGTGGTTCTGGCTGCGATTGAACTGGTCCAACTGCCTGATTTGGCTGCTCAACCAGCTGAAATAGCTCCTGAGCCTCTCCCACTGATACACCCCCCTCATGAGCTAGTCGTCTCTGTGTATGAGCTCTATTTTTCTTTGTTTTCTCGTTTTCAGCGCGAAATTGCTTGTTTTCTTGCTCAAGTAATATGCCTTGATGCATCGCAATTTGGCAGCCTTTAATAAACTGATTTAGTGCAGTTTTCGAGGGTGTCGGGGGGCTGTTTGAGCGTTGTTTTAGGAAGGCTTTGATTGATGAGGCTTGCTTTAATAGCTCTTTGACATTTGCAGGTGTTTTGGGGCTGAAGATGCTTGATCGACTGGTAGGGCGGCTTGCTGGAGGGGGGGGGGGTGTATGAAGCCGAATATTAAGCTTTGATATCACCCGATTGGCATTAAGTGGTACTAAACCAGCTGCTGCAAAGCTATTTTGAATTGTGACTGATTTGAATACCTCTGCATGCGCGAGTGGATATGCCATAAGAAAATCAAGCCTATCAATGTGGTTAAAACCAAGCCGCTGCTTTTGATCAACCATGGTACCATACGCGTGTTTAAGCGGCGAAAAACAACTAATATCAAGAGGCTGTAAAAGATGTGATGAATGTGGTGGCATACAGATTGATATGATATTGTTTCGGGCACAGATTTGGTCAAATTGAGGGGTCAAATGACTACCATGGCCGTCGAGGATTAGAAGTCGATATTTGCCTTTTATATAACTGTTTGTGGCTGGAATAAAGGGTTTTTCTAGCTATCGAAGGCCAATTTCATCTGTAGTCCATCCATTTAAGTTAACTTCAAACTGCCAATCCCTAGGGAGCTCTTTAAGCCAAGCTTGTTGATATTGCTTCCCTTTGAAGACTATAACTGGTGGAAGCACTCACCCACTTGCATTGATTGATTCCACCAGTCACCCACTCATGATTCCCTGGTTGTAGTACTGAACGCCGGCCATAGTACTTTGATTGAGTAATCAGTCTTGTAGTAGATGTGAGGCCCATTGCAAAACCAGTTTCTTCAAAGTTGTAGATATCTTCATTGAGGATGCCGTTCTGCTGAATTGTAGCTTGTATAGTATCAAACCACCTCTGAATAACCTTTGGATCCTCTTGTTTTTCACTTTGGTAGTCATATCTTTGAGAGAATCGCGTTTGAAGCTCTGGGTGACGTCGTACAAAGGTTGATACCCAGTTCTTGCCAACAGCATCAGTACCCCGAGCTGCAAGCAATAAATTGACCATTTCTTGCACCATTGTAGGCCGAGGGGCTGCTCCACGTCGATCCATTGAGAATATCCATTTAACAAGCGATTCCTCTTCAACTTCTGTGAGTTTATGCTTGTTGTCCGGACGGATTTGGGTATGACCAAGGGTACGTCTTCCCCTTTAACTATTCAGGATGGCAAGATGAAAGGTAGAAGTTCCAGCCACACCCGCGAGACGCCCGAAGGCCTGAGTTTTGTTGGCGCGTTTTTCAATGCGAAATTGGTGGCCATTAAGGCGATCAGAAAGGGTGGAACGCGGTATGTTAAATCGACGTGCTGTTTCGCGGATTGAGCTGATTTCTCCTTTTTTTTAAAAGCTTCTATAGCTAATAAGAGGTGTTCCTCTTGTTCCTGCGAGTTTCGGTTCGATCGGGAGCGATTTGGTGACATGGTGGGTGCTTAAAGATGGGAGAATGCATAAACGCCAAAAAAAGGATGGGTGGCCGGGTGGCTCGGGAATTACATTAGTTGTTAGCAGCTTCGTCCAGTTTGTATAGCTTCACTTTCCCGTTTGGGAATTCTCGGCGCCAACATCGCATGTCATTGTATTTGTACTTGGTATCAGATGGCAAATATGTATTGTTCACCGACGGTTATATATGGTCTGTTACCCCTGGGGTATTCTCAATAGTACAGGTTGTGTGTCTGCACATGAAATAGTATATATGCTTCTCTGTACATAGTATAGACTACAGACAGAGGATTGGTGCTTGCCACAATCCTTTAATAAATCGGCGACACCCCAAAACAGAGCAACTCTATCTCCATTTTTCCTTTGGGTGCTCCAACTCAACCCCGCAAAAGAGCCATTGACCCACGCCGGGCGAAAGGAGAGGCGTCAAGAGTACGGAGTATGCTGTCCTTTGGAGTGACAGTTAAATAGTGAGGCTTCCCTGGTACATTTTCTCTATCTGCTCTGCTTGTCGCTCTAATAACACTGTGGCTGAAATAACGTACTACTGATCCATACAAAGACCCAATTTGGTCCACCGCTGATAACGATAAACAAACGCACCTTCTTGCCAACAAGGACTTGACCACCTTTTTTTATATCACCTCCATCCAACTGCTTCAAAAGAGAACACTAAATCAGACCAAAATGGTTGAACTTATACATCCTCCCGATCCCCGCACATTACTTCCTCCCATCCTGGCATGCCTCCCCACCGCATTCGTATCGCCACGCCCTCCTCCGGCTCTTCTCCCTCTTCTGTCTCCGATTCTGCGCCAACGAGTCCAGTTCCTCACTTCGGTTTCGGTTTCGCCAACGGATTCATGGCTCCGGTTACTTTCGTGGAAATTAGAGAAAGGAGAGGAACTTCAGGCTCTCGTCGACGGCACAAATTTCGAGCCCCACCCCGTCTCGGGGGAAATCGAGCTGCCCGATGAACTGCGCGTGAGCTACAAACGGATCGACGAAGAGACGCTTCATGCACAGATCGCGCTTCCCGAGTACCGCTTAAAGGCCATCTATCTTTGGTGCCCGCCTGATCAAGAGAATGAAGGACCGGGCTGGCGACTGGCCGAATTGTTACCCCGAGAAGGAGCGACGGAGGATGAAGAGACTTGGTCCACTTCGATCGGGGAGGCGAATGCACAGTCCAAGGGGAGATTGATGGAGGATGCACTACGGGCTGCGGAGAATGATGAACGTGCCAAGCAAAACGGTCAAGGGCAGCAAGAGCAAGAAGAGGACGAAGACGATGCTGCATACTGGGCTCAGTACGATGCGACACCGGGGCGAACCCCGGCCGTCAAGACACCAGCTCCCAATCCTGCTTCCTCCCTAGAACAGCAGAACGCATCTGAGGCATCGTATTTCTCTCGATATGGCGCCGTGCAGCCAGCTATGGATAACCATGACCCTGAAGAGGAACAGCCCGAGGTGGGACCAACCTCACTTAATGGAGACTTGCTGGCCAGTCTCCTGCAAAGGCAGGTTGGCCCTGAAGCTACAGACTCGTCTGCACGGCCCAACGGCTACCCGCCTGGAGCAGCCAATGAGGAGAGTGTCGCGTCACTCAACCACCCCCGTCCGTCGTCGGACTCGTCTGCCAGCTCCGATGCAGTAGCAAAGCTGGAATTGGAAGCAGAGAGCCGGTCTGCGTGCGAAGTAGGAGTAAAACAGCATATCACTTCCAACATCAAGAGTCTCTTTCGACTGGCCAAGAGCACGGGGATCTCTCGAACAGAGTTTCAGTCTTTGGTCAAGACGGAATTGGACTTGCTGGACATGACTGATGTTGAAGAGTAACGAAGTCTTTTTGTTGTCTTTGCTATTTTGAGCTTTTTGTTGATTCCAGAGCGTGTCTTGGACGGAGTCTAGGCATAGAATATAGTTATAGTATGGCTTGGGAGCTGGGTTGCTATCAATTGATCAATTGAACTACATACGAATACATAAATTCAATTGCATTTTTTATATCTTATATATCTTTTCTTCACATGAAACCCCCATTTGGTGTATACTCCTATATCGGCCCTTCGCCTTTTCCGTTCCGCTGAAGCCAAAACATCCGCCCAAAAACGACACGCAATCCGCATCGCAACCAGTTCCTCACCGTCGCCCCTCCTTTTTTCGCTTTTGCTCATGTTCTTTGTTTGATTCCTTTTATTGAATTGCTTCTTGTAAGTGTGCTGTCCTGGTCCGTGGCCGTGGTGATGCTAGTGCCTCTTGTTGTCTTAAACTAACGCCCCTGTTACTCCCGCAGTTCTTCTTCTCCTTCTACTCCTGGTCGCTCTCTTGATTTCTTGATTATACAATTTCTTTACAACATGTCTGGCACTTCGCCGTCTCTCCGCAAGAGAGGCGGAAAGAAGGAGACGGACTACGCTTCGGACGATGCTTCTTCGCCGTTACTTGCTGGTCAAGGGGGCTCCGTGGCTCCTAAGCGTCAGTCGGAATGGAGTTATAGGCTGGCCATGGCCATTCTGACTGTGCTGGCGTTCGTCACTAGATTCTGGAAAATCTCCTACCCCGATGAAGTTATTTTCGATGAGGTGCATTTCGGAAAGGTGAGTTCGAATTGCTACTCCGCGAGAGAGACAGGAAGTCTGACTTCGGTTGCTTTGTTCTAGTTCGCCTCGTACTATCTCCAACGCACCTACTTCTTCGATGTCCACCCTCCGTTCGGTAAACTCCTCTTCGCTTTAATGGGATGGATGATTGGATATGACGGCCACTTCCTGTTTGAGAACATTGGCGAATCGTACATCGAAAACAAGGTCCCCTATGTCGCTCTCCGTGCCATGCCCGCGACCCTCGGTGCCCTCACCGTGCCCGTGGTTTTCCAGATCATGTGGGAGTCGGGATACTCGCTGCCTGCTTGCGTGTTGTCGGCCGGACTCGTTCTGTTTGACAATGCCCACATTGGAGAGGACCGTTTGATTCTCATGGACTCAACCCTGGTGATCGCCATGGCCCTGAGCATTCTGTGCTACATTCGCTTCTACAAGATGCGTCATGATCCGTTTACTCGGAAGTGGTGGAAGTGGCTCCTGTTGACTGGTGTGTCGCTGAGCTGCGTCATCTCGACCAAGTACGTTGGTGTGTTCACCTTCATCACCATTGGTGGCGCGGTTGTTATCGACTTATGGAACTTGCTGGACATTAGACGTCCACGGGGAGCGCTCAGCATGTTTCAATGGAGCAAGCATTTCGGGGCGCGTCTCTTTAGTTTGATCATCCTGCCCCTGTTCTTCTATCTCTTCTGGTTCCAGGTCCACTTCACGATCCTTAACCGCTCCGGCCCCGGCGATGATTTCATGACGCCAGAGTTCCAGGAAACGTTGAGTGACAATGCCATGGCCGCGCAATCCGTTGGCATCCAGTACTTTGACAGCATCACGATCAAGCACAAGGACACCAAGACCCTCCTCCACAGCCACTGGGAGAAGTATCCTCTGCGCTACGACGACGGACGGATTTCGAGCCAGGGCCAACAGGTCACCGGATATCCTTTCAATGACACGAACAACCATTGGCAGATTCTTCCTACTGTGCCTCTGGCCGATGGCGAGGTTCACTCGGTGAAGAACGGCGACGTTATCCAGCTGCGTCATTTGGGAACGGACTCCATTCTCTTGACCCACGATGTGGCATCGCCATTCTTCCCGACCAACCAGGAGTTCACCACTGTTACGCAGGAATTGGCCGATGGCGAGAGACACAACGACACGCTGTTCGAGATCAAGATCGAAAACGGCAAGGCTCAGCAGGACTTCCGAACCCTGTCGAGCCACTTTAAGTTGATCCACGTTCCCACCCGGGTGGCCTTGTGGACGCACACGACACCCTTGCCGGACTGGGGCTTCAAGCAAGCCGAAATCAACGGAAACAAGAACGTCCTGCAGTCCAGCAACTTGTGGTACGTAGACAGCATTGAGTCGTTGCCGCCAGACAGTCCTCGTCTGTCAAAGGAAGAGCGCAAGGTCAAGCAGCTGCCCTTCCTCCGGAAGTATCTCGAACTGCAGCGGGCCATGTTCCTGCACAACAATGCCTTGACCAGCAGCCACCCGTACGCTAGTGAGCCCTTCCAGTGGCCATTCCTCCTCCGCGGTGTCAGCTTCTGGACCAAGGAGAGCACCCGGGAGCAGATTTACTTCCTTGGTAACCCCATCGGATGGTGGATTGCTAGCAGTTTGTTGGCTGTTTTTGCTGGTATCATTGGTGCGGACCAGCTGTCTCTTCGACGTGGAGTCGATGCTTTGGAAGAGAGTATGTTACCCCCCCCCCCCCTTACCCGTTAATGTTGAGAGAAGCATACTAACTGAATTAGTCTGGGGCCCTGGTACCCGCTCCCGCGTGTACAACAGCACTGGTTTCTTCTACCTCTGCTGGGCAGCTCACTACTTCCCCTTCTGGCTCATGGGACGTCAACGTTTCCTGCACCACTACCTCCCCGCCCACCTGGCCTCCGCCCTAGTGGCCGGTGCCCTGGTTGAATTCATCTTCAACCTCCAGCCGATCCCCGTTAACCAGACCGCCACCGAAACCACTGACGACCCATCCGGCAAGTCCCGCACCGCCGCTCCCCGTCGTTTCGTGCAGGCCTCGGAGCGCATGGGCACGAAGTCTATCGTCGCAGGATGGATCGCTACTTTGGTTATCTTGGGTGCTACGATCTACGGATTCTGGTTCTTTGCCCCGTTGACCTACGGTACTCCTGGTTTGGATGTTGCGGGTGTCAATGCGCGCCGCTGGTTGGGATATGATTTGCACTTCGCCAAGTAATTGGTTTCGTAGCTTGATGTTGGGTTGTTAGGTTCTGGTGTCATTGTTGGTGATGAGTACGGAGTACTCGGGGTTGTATGCGAGTTGTAAGATAGACAAGCTGCTCTTTTTTGCGCTTTTGAATGTTTGTTAAGACGAGAATAAATCATACATAAGGTAAGGTAGGAGCATAGGTATAACTAGGATTGTTTCACATTGTTCAAGCTGTCTGTAGCCACACTCGCCATCAAGAACAATCCAGAAGCATTATATTCAGTACACGTACTCTACATTCATATGCATCGTATCTAACCAAAAAATTACCTCACTCCAAGGAGCCACTCAAACAGTCTTAACCACAAACTCCCCCTCAACCCTCACGTCCCTCGAACTCGCCCCAGCCCTAACCCCATAACTCCCAGCAACAACACCCCACTTCTGCGCCCCAACATCCCAATACGAAATATCCCTCCGTCTCAACCCAAACTTCACCTCCACACTCTCCCCCTTCTCAATTTCCACCCTCTCGAAACCCCTCAACTGCCTGACCGGCTGCTTAGCAGCCTCAGGATACTCGATGTACAACTGCGGTACTTCAGCACCCGCACAGGGACCAGTGTTCTCGATGGTCAGGGTGATGTTCGCGACGGTGTCCCAAAGGTCTGTCGGGCCGCCGACGGAGGGTGTTCCTGTTGGGTAGCGGGGGAGGGATGTTGTGGGGGAGATGTGGAGGGAGGAGTAGTTGAAGGTTGTGTAGGAGAGGCCATGGCCAAAGGCGTAGCGGGGGATTTTGTTGTAGGCGTCGAAGTAGCGGTAGTCGATGTAGTTTCCTGCGTCATTAGCCACCGAGTAAGATAGGGAGGGGGTGTTCGGGGAGAGGGAGCGGTACCTTCGGTAAAGTTGCACTGGGAGGTATAGCAAAGATCAACGTTATAGTCACTCTCATTCTTGGCGATGGTGTATATGAGACGACCGCTGGGGTTTACGTTGCCGTAGAGAACGTCCACGATGGAGTTACCGGATTCCTGGCCCAGGAGGGAACCGTATACGACGGCGGTGACGTTGTCGTTTTCGATCCACTGGTCGACGAGGCGTGCCCCGACGGTGTTGATGACCACGACGGTGTTGTTGCAGTTCTTGGCCACGGACTTGACCAAGTTATCCTGGTCGACGTTGTACAGTTCCGTGCGGTCTGCGCCCTCGCCGGCCAATGCGTTCAGGAAGACGATGCAGACGTCCATGTTCTCGGCGTATGTAGAGATGGATGGTGTGACTGCCGTGCTGTCGGAGCCCTGCATGACGAGCGCGGAACCGCTATCACCGCTGTACGTGTCGTTGAGGATCCAGCGAATCATGGTGCCGTCTTCGGCGGCCTTGCTGGTAAGGGCGTGCTGCGGGGTGATCAGGTAGGGGTACGAGCTCTGTCCAGATCCCGTGTCTGTAGCCAGATGACCCTGGTAAGTAGGACCGGAGCCCTGGACGCTGAACTCTGTGTTCGGGCCTGCAGTGGCGGGGCCGGCGTGCGCACCGAAGATGGCCATTGTGTGGGGTTTGTTCAGGGGCAGGGCGTTGTTGGTGTTTTTGAGCAGGGAGAGGGATTTGGCGCCGTTGGCGCGGATGAGCTTTGAGTGGTTTGCGCGGACGTCGATGTAGGCGTCTTTGTCGGCGGTTGCGGGCTGGGTGCCGTTGTCGAGGTTGACATGATAGTAAGCCATTAGGTTGCGGATGGCCATGTCGTTTAGTTGGGCTTGGGGCAGGCTGCCATTCGAGAGGAATTGCTTCATGGTCGATGTGCTCCAGAGGCTGCTGGATCCATAGTCCAGGCCGTTGACTGCGCTGGCCAAGGCGTGCTGCTGCGCCATGGTGTCTGGGAAGACCATACCGGGGAATCCAAGTTCGTTCTTGAGTAGTCTGTGCAGGATATCGGAGTTCTCGCAGGACAATGTGTTGTTGACTTTGGTCATGGCGCACATGACAGCTCCTAGTCCGTTCTTGACACCGTCGTAGAAAGACCACAGATACGTTTCATGCAGGGTCTTGTCGTCAGCGTTCGACGAGTAGGGGGCGGAGCTATAACTGGAGTCAGAGCCACCAGCCGCACGCTTGGATGGTGGCATGGAACTAGACGATGAGTTCGATCCTCCCATGCCATCAGGGGCACCGCCAGCACCCCCAGGGCCGCCGCCGCCGCCGCCGCCGCCGCCTGACGTGCGGTTCGTTTCCTGCTCATTGAGAATGTAGTGCTTGGCCCCGGCAATCACGCCAGTATCAACGTAGGCCTTGGTACTCAATCCAGTAACAATACCATTCAGATACGGATCCGGACCAAATGTCTCAACCAAACGACCACCCCAAACAGTCCTTCCCATTGGCTGCGTGGTAGGCCCATTAACGACCTGGACACCCTTTAGATAGAACTCGGTAGCCACGGCGCGGGCCTGGTCGTATATAGCCTCTCTATCCCAGGTCATGGCCAGGGCGGAGCTCTGACTGAACGCAGAGGCGTAGAAGTAGTCCTGGAGACCCATGGAGCCGTCGAGGAACTGCAGGGCCGTGAAGGTGCCGTCGGTGATGTTGACATCGTTACCGGTGATTAGCTGGATTTTCTGGGCGATGCTGAGTTGGGAAACGAAGTGGGATGCTTTTTGGTAGGCTTCTTGCCATTCACCAAGGGAGACTACATTTGTCAGTGAGGAATCATACAGGTTCTCGTGGCGTATACATACGTCCATCAGCCTTTAGGAGACCCTCCGAGGAGTTTGTCAATGCGAGAGCCGAACCCAAAAGGGTCGACAAAAGAGCAAATGAGTGAAGCTTCATCTTAACGACCACATGGACGAAAGAAATGAGGACTAGAAGGGTGGTAGAGAAGGAAAGGCGAAAAAATAAACTATTTAATCCCCTATATCTAACCGAAGAAAACCCGTCCCTTTAAGACTGGGAAGGTTGACGTATGCGCTCCATTTTAGCAGCGTTCTTGAACCAAGCTAAAATTGCCTGGGCCCACGATTTGAAGCAACTAAGGGCTCTATCGGTATCGTTGGGACTCGGAGTGAAGCCAAAGTTGGTCCACGCGTCCGGGCAGTGGAGACGGAGGTTGTAGAAGATTGTAGGGCTAAGCCCTGATAACGCGTCACCATGAATTGGATATTGAATGATAGCAGTATTGAAGAGTATTCTGATGGTGGTAGATGTGGTCATGGTTGTAGAAGTTGAAGTCTAGAGAGAGTTGAGGCTGAAGTGAGATCCCGTGACAGGTCAGTAGTTCTTCACTTCTGCACGGAAGGAAGACGGAATCGGAGGCAAGAGAGACCTCCGTGTTCCGTAGCCGGGCATCTAATCAATCATTTGGATCATCGTCGAATTTAACTCTCCGGGTCTAGTCGTTTCGTCTCGAAACGAACTTTTCGGGTTATCCGGTCGGAATATCCGAGTGTCTACAGAGGAGGATATGGAACATGAGAAGGCTACTGACTATCGGAGATAGACAGGCACCTCTAATTCTGGATCTTTCTAACCGGAATTCTACTCTCCACCAGTATGGGGGTCGTCTACGAGCACGAAACTGCATGAATGCCTCAAGATTTTGGCTAATATTAATGTGAACTAACTAGTTAGTTAACTAAACTGCGAATCGCAACAGATGATAGGCTATAGCAATATCAAATCACGCAAAATAAACAATCATGACTAAATACGGACCAAACGCCATCGTTTATATATATATCGCAAACAAATCAATTACCACGCCATCCGCTTGCCAATCTCACTCTCCCACCCACGCACTCTCTCAAATCCATTTGATGAGGTCTGGAAGTCAAGCATAGCCTGGTAAACCTGTTCCTGGGTATTCAGGACGAAAGGACCGTACTGAACCACCTTCTGATCAAGCGGTTGACCAGCCACAAGGAAAATGCGCGAGTCAGACTCCGCATTATCAGGAACAGACATCTCCACATAACCACCATCCTGCTCAAAGACAACATTGTGGTATTCCTTGATCAGCTGAGTCGAGTCGTTGGAGCCAAAGACAGTGGTGCCGCCGAGAGTGTACGCGAATGCGTTCCAGCCCTGGGGCAGAGCCTGGGTGATCTTGCCACCAGGCTTGATGTTGATATCGAGGATCCAAACGGGGGTGTACGCGAGGTCACGGACGGAGTCGACACCGTGCGATTGACCAGAGATCACCTTCACAGTCACCCGGCCATCATCGACGGTAACAGAGGGGATTTCACTGGCCCGCAGATCGCGGTACCGCGGCTCGCACATCTTCAATTTGGCCGGAAGATCGACCCAGAGCTGCATACCCACGTTGGGGCTACCGTCGGGGTTCTCGTGGGGCATCTCCGCGTGCATGATACCCTTTCCTGCGGTCATGAACTGCAAATCGCCAGGGCCAATGGTACCCTTGTTGCCTGCGAAATCTTCGTGGTCGACACCGCCAGAGAGAAGGTAGGTGATGGTTTCTTGGCCGCGGTGCGGGTGGTCTGGGAAACCGGCGCCCTTGCCAATGGTGAAGTGGTCGAGCATGAGGAAGGGGCTGAAGCTGCGGAGCTTCATGGTGCCAATGGAACGGCGCACACGGGCGCCTGCACCTTCGCCTTGCTCAATGGCGAGGAAAGCCTGACGGATCGCACGGGGGATAGCCATTTCGGTGACTGGGTGGATGATAGGTGTGTCGGTGTTCGGTGGAGTAGTCGTAGTATCGGTGTTCAAGTACTGCGACAAGGTAGCTGGGACTTGTTCCTGAATATAAGAAACTAGATCCTTGATCTGACCCGGTTGGTAGATATATGAAAGAAGAATTGCTATAATGCAAATTGAGAATGAGAGAAACAGTTTCATCGACCCGGATGGGGGCTATTTATACAGCAACGGCAGCGTAGCAGAGAATACAGGAGAAACTTCGTGAGTCTGGGGGAAACAGAATTTAAAAGCGAACTGTCAGCGTTAGTCACGGTCTTCTAATCTTCATAACCCATTGTTCATGCTTTCAATCGTCGCATTGCAATTGGCTTTTCCGGATTTCCAATCCATCACTAACTATTATCGATCTGTGGGGTGCGCCGCTGATCCACCGCTTTGTCAGGCTTGTGTCAGCGCGGCGTGGGTCAAACATAATCCGAAGTATGGCTGCCTGAGAGGTAAGGTATGTATTTGGTGTTATTGGAACATTGGACATTGTTCTGGGACTCATGCTCTGTAAGTACATCATTGTCGGCCAGGTACGAGACTCTATTCTTAAGATGCATAGACACAATTGATATGAAGCTGGCTGCTTATTGTGGTTATTTCGTCAAGCATGTCTTGAGGATCGCCTTCTCCGTGGAGTAGTTATATACATTTATCAACCTGGAGCTTTTGTATGGTGTATTATTTGGATGTATCTAGTCTTAACATATGATTGCTGCTCTGCACATTTTGAAAGCAATTGCTGATATTGCTATGTTTTGTATACTTGCACGTGCAGTGTCATCATCGCCGGGGCTCGGTCCGATATTCACAGCTGGCCTGTTATCTCCCTGCATCTCCATCTTTTCCCCAGAAACCTTGTCGCTTTGAGAATTTGATGTCCACTGATTTCAATATATGTATTATATTTAATTTATGATCATCCCCAGCTGAAACGAAAAGAGCTCCTGTTCAGTTCGCGCATTACTGAGAGCTCCGACTGCACCGCGGGGAAGCTCCCCTATCAGTGTACGCGAACATCATCGCGAACAGCTCCCACAAGAGAAACCGAGAAGGGAATTGACACTTGTTGACGACATTAAATATGACACGGCGCACACGGTTATTAACGCCGTTACTGGCGCTGACATATGCCACGTCTGGCGCGTGGGCTGGCAAGAAGATGTTCAACATCCACGATGACTTACTAGCACACCCTCAGGTATCCCGCAACAACAGAATGGCGCATGTTGATAGAGATTGCTAACTGTGCTGATGACCGTATAGTACCAAGTCCGTTTCCCAGACGACTACGTTCTCGAATCGCAAGCAGACGAACTGCTACAAGCACAGCACACTTCGGCATACGGAAGCGCAAATGTCGAACAGAAACAAGCACAAGTCTACATGTCGAATTCGAATAAAGTAAAACGCGATAATGAAGATGGCGACGCTACGGAATTCTCTTACGAAGAGATGAGCCTCGACGGACAGCGATTCCTTTGCGAGATACCACGGGTGGACCTTGACAACCGTAACCAGACCAAAGCAAACGAGCCGAACGAAGATGAAGAGAAGAAGGAATTGGCACGCGCAACAGATCGTGGGTTGGAGCTGCTACGCGAATTGGAAGGGAAATGCATGTATTACGTTTCTGGGTGGTGGTCCTATTCGCTTTGCTACAAAAGGCAGATCAAGCAGTTCCATGCTCTGCCGGCCGGAGGTAGTGTTCCTGGTTACCCTCCCATGGAAGACCCCACTACCCATTCCTTTGTCCTGGGTAGATTCCCCCGGAAAGACGACCGGAATGATATCGATGAAGAACCGATGCAGAAGAGGACAACAACAGACGTGGCGGAGCTTCAGACAAAGGGAGGATCGCGATACCTGGTCCAGAAGCTGGAGGGCGGAACTGTTTGCGATCTAACGGGCAAGAGTCGGAAGATTGAGATCCAGTTTCATTGCCATCCCCAGTCGACGGACCGGATCGGATGGATCAAGGAGCTCACCACCTGCTCCTATCTGATGGTCGTCTATACCCCACGCCTGTGCAATGATGTCGCGTTCCTGCCACCCCAGCAGGATGAGGTCCATACGGTCGATTGCCATGAGATCCTCGCCCACGAAGAAGTTGCTGACTGGGAAGCAATGAGAGAGTATCAGTTGTCCCAGAAGCTAGTGGAGTCTGGGATCCCGCTATCCGACCTCCACATCGTCGGTGATATTGAGGTTGGCGCCCAGAAGCTGGTCGGGACAGAAGGCAAACGGATCGAAAAGGGGCGAGTGGCGTCTGTCGGCGAAGAGAAAGTGGACGTAGTGGCAAAGCGCGAGAACGGCAAAGTGCAAATGTTGTCCAAGAATGAGCTCAAAAAGTTCGACCTGGATCCGGACAAAATCGAAACACTGAAGAGACACCTGGAAAAGGAGGCCAAAGGTCGAGACTGGACCTTGGAAATGGTCGAGGTCAATGGTGAGCGTGGGTTACGCGGGATTATCGAGTCGGATGAGGAGGAAGAAGATGGGCCTGCAGAGGTTCCCGGCGAATTTGAACAGACTGAGACTCCTGCTGCGAAAGACAACGAGAAGGGTCAGGAGAAAGGTCAGAAGCAGCCTGAACCCCAGCCTGCTGCCGAAGCCGGGGACTCCAACGAGCCGGAAGGATCGCCTGAAAATGCAGAACAGGGCAGTGAGGAAGTCTTTTTCAGAGACGAGCTATGATCTTTTAGATTGTTTGGGTGTTCTTGTGTTTAGTTCTCAGCAATTCTTAGCATACCTCTGTATACATAGAGTCGTTGTACTTTGCATTTTGTGCCAGATACAAAAGATATGATTCTCCTTGTTATTGACTAAAATATTAGTATGTATTAATTTATAACAGGTACCCTGTTCTCCATACTATGATGAGTATTTCCAGAAACATTCCCCGGCTGTCAGTCAGTGCATACTTGAGTTACTTCGGAGTGTCCCAAAACAGACCATTGAGTTATTCTGCAGCAACTAGTCAACTCTTTCTGTTCTTTATACTGTTTGTCCCTTTTGTACTCTGTAGTTAATATAGCCTGTCTCAGTTGGGCGCAAGTAACGTGACCGCCCCTCAACGCTCTGCCTCCGAACTGACGACGACGATCGACTCTCCAGAGCCACACCCAACCTCATCTCTCCTTCTCACTCCCCCATACGGTGGACTTACCACTCCCTCCCTCCTCTTTTCTTTTCTTTTTCTACTTCTAATCTCTTTAGTTCCTCCAGCCTGTTTCTCCCCTCAGGCTCTCTTCCTCCTCTCCTCCTAATCACCCACCCCCCGTACTCCTGTCGCATTCGTCCGGTTAGCCCCCGTCCCCGTCGGTTTCCCCCGACCGATTCTCCCAAGCATACGTACCTCTGACTGATTCGACAAGAGGACACACGACCTACCATTATTCGAGCGCTGCACCTTGCAGCAATAGCAGAAACGATACCAGCAGCGACGCGACCATATATTTATCGCCAGTATGGGGTTCCTCGGCGTATACACGGCCGTGTACGATTACCACCCCCAAGCAGAGGGGGAACTCGACCTGCGTGAAGGAGATCTACTCTACCTGCTCGAGAATAATGCTGAAGATGACTGGTGGAAAGCGAAGAAGAAGGCCAACAGAGAGGATGAGGACGAACCGGAGGGTCTCGTGCCCAACAACTACGTTGAAGAGGTAAGGATGATTTGCCGCAGCCACTCCCCTTATTTTATGTGATTTGCGACAGAATAGAAATAAAGCATGCAAAGGCTTTTTCGAACGTTATCGATTGTATTGCTTTTTCCGGGGTATCTTCATCCGAACTGCAGCTGTCGAACGTTTACCATGCGGGGACCGCTCGGGGAGGACGGAATCAACGAGATAACCCCTGGGCATTTATCTGGACTACAGGTTGCTAATTTCTTTTGTCACCGTTATCTAGGCTCAACCCGTTCATGTAGCAAAGGCGCTTTACGATTACACGCGCCAAACAGACGAAGAAGTGTCGTTTTCGGAAGAAACGGAGTTGGTTGTATACGACACTTCAGATCCTGACTGGACGTTAGTCGGCGTCAATGCAGGCGTCAATGCAGATTACGGATTTGCCCCCGCGAATTACATTGAAATTGTGGCAGACGGCGCCGCTGTCGAGACATCAAAGCCTGCTGCTGCGTACGCTGCTGAACCGCCAGCTCCCGCGCTTCCTCAGCGTCCTCCCGTGCCCCCGACAACGGCAGAGCCAGAAGAAGAAGAGCCTCCTGCTCAGCCGCCTAGATCCCCTGCTGATACGGTCCAGAATCCGGCGGCCGCAGCCATTGCTGATATAATCCACAAGCAGAACGCGTCACCTGTTGAGGAACATCAACCTCTTACTCCTCGTGCCATACCCTCTCCGCCTCAACCGACATATGAGTCCGAGGATAACTACCGCAATGAACCATCTCCTCCTCCCCCGAGTCTGCCGCAGCGGCCCCCGTCGCAGCAAGTCTCCCCTCCGGTCCGGCAGCGTTCGCCCCCTCTGCCCACCCGCCCACCGATTGTGGCAATCAAAGACGACGACCGGGAGGGACATGTGAAAGAGTCTCCCCCGTACAACCGTGTTGGGCCCGCTCCGCGTTCGGCTTCGGGATATCATATGTACAATATCAACGAAATGGTTGAGGCTATGGGTAAAAGAAAGAAGATGCCAACGACACTGGGCATCAACGTTGCTACAGGAACCATCTTCATCTCACCTGAAGGAGATGGCGAGCACCAGGAATGGTCTCCAGAGAAGCTCACGCACTACTCGATTGAAGGGAAGCACGTTTTCGTTGACCTGGTTCGCCCCAGCAGGAGCATCGACTTCCACGCCGGAGCCAAAGATACCGCTCGTGAAATTGTCGCTGCTCTCGGCGAGATCTGCGGTGCCTATCGAGCTGAGGGATTGAAGGAAGTTATTGCGGCCAGTACCGGTGGCGGTGGGAACAAGAAGGGTCAGATTGCGTACGACTTCATGGCGCAGGGCGATGATGAGGTGACCGTGGCTGTGGGCGATGAAGTCGTCATCCTCGACGATACGAAATCTGAAGAGTGGTGGATGGTTCGTCGCATCAAGAACGGCAAGGAAGGCGTTGTCCCAAGCAGCTACATCGAGGTCACCGGTTTTGTCTCCAAGGAGCCAACCGGAATTGAGTCTGGTCTGTCGACCGTGGAAAAGAACCGCCTGGAAGAGTCCCGACTGGCCAAGGAAGCCCTGAGAAATACGCGGGCCGACTCTATTGACTCCAAGGGCTCAGAGCGTCAGAAGCGCGAAAGCAAGGCCGGCAGCAGAGCGAAGCCCGATTCGAGTAAAGTGCGGCGATGGACGGACCGTACCAAGACCTTTAATGTGGATGCGCAGTTCATCGGATTGCGGGAAGGGAATATTCATCTTCATAAAACGAACGGTATCAAGATTGCGGTTCCCATTCCGAAGATGTCGGTCGAAGATTTGGAATATGTCGAGAAGGCTACCGGTGTGTCTCTGGAAGAAGACAAACCGCTCTCCGATGTTCGTCGTCGCAGCAACTCTCGTGCGGAAGCCGATACCAAAAAGGCCGGTGCGTCATTCCAGCAGTCCGATTATGACTGGTTTGATTTCTTTCTCAAAGCTGGTGTTGGACCTCACCAGTGCGAGAGATACGCCCAGAACTTTCTCCGGGATTCCATGGATGAAAGTGTTCTTCCAGACATCACACCTGAGAACCTGCGTACTCTAGGTCTTAAGGAAGGTGATATCCTCCGGGTGATGCGCTACTTGGACACCACCCTTGCTCGAACCGGCTCCAAATCCAAGGCAAGGAATGTCAGCTTTGGCGGTGAAGAGATAATTGGTAACGGCGAGGACGGTGGAGCCAGTGGTCTCTTTTCTGGCCCTGGTGGTGCTCTGCACAACAACACTCGGAAGGGCAGACCGGCCCCGGCCGTCCAAACGGGTGATGTTGTTGACCCCAAGGTGTTTGAGCAAAAGGATGGGTCCAAACCACAGGAACAAGTCGAGACCCCCTCGACCCCGGCTGCACCCGAGAAGCCTGTCGAACGTGGATTCGAAGATGATGCTTGGGAGGTCAAGCATCCTAAACAACCTGCTACTGCTGCTCCTGCTGTTGCTGCTGTTGCTGCTACTTCACCAACGGCTCCCGCCACGACATCACCGCCTCCGGGCCCGACACCGCAGCAACTGACAGGCGCATTGGCGGATCTATCTGTCCTTCACCCGCCTCTCCAACCCCAACCAACGGCGGCTCCCCAGCCACAGCCCGCTGCGCCGATTGTGCAGCCCCAGCCAACTGCGCAGCCCTCGCCAGTATCACCTCAGCAGCCACAGCAGACCGGTGCCAGTCCAAACTTCTTTGCTCAATTGGCCCAGCAACCCACTGGCCTTCAGCAGCCATCGCGTCAACGCCCGCAACCGCCTCAGAACCTGGGCCAGAGTTCGCTTCTTCCTCCCCCTCCACCCCGACCTTTGTCGGCGCCTCAGAACTTCTCTCAGCAGCCTACTGGATTTGGCGCGACTCCGTTGCAACCACAGTTGACCGGACTCCCTCAAACCGGGCCGCAGCTTGCTCCTCCGGGGCAGAGTTTGGCCGAGTTGAACCAGCAACGTTTCCAGCCACAACCGACAGGCTTCCAACCACAACCGACAGGATTTCAGCCACAACCGACAGGATTGCAGCCGCAGCCCACAGGGTTCCAGCCGCAGTCTCAATTTGGAATCCAACAGCAGCAGCAACTGCAAGCCCAGCAACCAGGCCAGCTCGGGTTCCAGGGTATGGCACCGCAGCCAACGGGCTTCGGGGGCTTCCAGCCGCAGCCGACTGGTATCAACTCTATGCTTCCTCCGGCAATGCAGCCCCAGCCCACTGGCTTGCAGCCTCAGCCCACCGGTATGAACGGTTTTGGAAGCATGCCTTACAACATTTCGCCTCCACCAGTGCCTCCGATTCCACAGCAGCCCACTGCTGCGCCTTTGCAGCCGCAAAAGACCGGGCCTCCTCCTTCCGTCCGCTTCGGTGTTAAGCCCGGGGAAACTCAGAAGCTTGCTCCACAGCCTACGGGAATGAAGGCCAACCTTTCACAAGCTAGTAAGTTCATCCTGTCCCCTTTCCTCCCACAGACCAGTTCACTAACGTGTTCGCAGCACCCACGAACCCGTTCGGTTTCTAAACTGGATGGCATATATAATTTCTGCTCTTACGGTACATGGTTATTTCTGGTATACAATTTTATTTTCTTTTCTGATTGGGTGGATGATACCTTTTTCTTCTTGTCCATTTTGCTTTTACCACTTTTAACGCTGTCATGCGTACCATGCCATGGCCAGATCTACACCACGCAGTGATTTCTGAAGCAGTACCTTGTTTTTTTTTTTTTTTTTTTTTTCCACGGCTTCAGCGACTAGAACGCGTCTCCTTTTCGAATTCGTTTCAACCTCCATTGACACGTAATTCTGGCAGAAAAGGACCATTCCCAGCTTTGTTTCACTCATTGAAATGCATTTTCTTTTCCTTGTTTACTATTGGAGCCGTCATACTACAGGCTGCTAATTGTGCTGCTTGCTACGCTTTGCTTCCTTTCTTTCCTTTCCTCTGTGATGATGTTGCTTCTAATTTGTTGCATCTAAACTGGATTTGCTTTCTCGACGTTCCTTCTCTTCTCTTACTTTTTTTCTTTTCTTTTTTTTTTTTGTTCTCTACATTACTTTAGTACTGTCGTGTTCCCTTCGCTTCTTTCCTTTTTCCTTTCCTTTTCTTTGTTTGGCTCTTTTACTGTCAATCTGTGGAACATATATGTATGGTACATAGGTCTTGTTAGACAAAATATATTATTACTATTGGTTCATCTGTACATAACAGTCACAATGCGCGAGACCAGCTCGACCGGTATGCGTTGTCAGCCTCAGCCTCGCACTTGCAACTATTTTATCTTGAAAGTACGCCTGCTCGAAGGTAATCCCAACCCTTTATATGACAAACCTTTACTTTGCTCACCAATAGCAGAAGCCAGGAGTTGTCTCCCGATCAAGAATCACGACATATGCACATTACATGTATAACTACATACATCAGATCAATCCAGTTATTTAATCTCCTTGCATCCAACAGAATGTCAACAAATGGCCTCATATACAACATCGCTGCTGTCAATACCCAAGGGGTTCCTGGCCCGAGCCAAGAATGTGTCTCACTACATCATAGTGCATACCTCAGCCCCGGGTTTAATTGTAGTACTAGCGGTCAACAGGAATATTTGAGCGTTTATGTGATCTACTAAGATCTATATATGCTTGCGTTATTGATCGGGGAAATGGGCAACTCTCGAGGATATATAAGCGTGGTGGACCGGCGTGCAAGGCGGGCCAATATTCTATCACGGTATTCAGGACACGGAGACAGACGCCATGGACAACAGGGCTTATATTGCGGACCTGTCTGGTCAAGATACTATCACATTTCACGATCTCGAGCATTGCACAGAGGGAGCGTTGTCAGCTATTCCCGGCATTCATTACCTGCCAGACGGAGCGAGCAACAATGTCCTTGGCAGCAAGCATGTCAAGCCCTTCAATAGAGGGCATAATGCTGCAGTGAAAGCTACAGACCTTCTCAATCGCCATGCAAAGAACGCAACAGCTTCAACACAAGCGACGAAAAGCGGATTATTCGCCGGACCACCACCAGAAGCAGGACACAGCGACAGCATACACGACTCCGTTCTCTGGTTCGAGAAGATTCAATTCCAGCACAAAGACACTAGCTTGACCTCCACGCATTATCTGCACTTTTCGAACCTGAGCCTATTACCCCAGGACGTGGCAGACATCACGAGTATCAACATCATAACCGGCATATGTCTTTTCACCAGCAGGGTTCTGGCGTCGAGCATCCCGAGCAATGAGCATGGACTCAACATTTCCGCACTCGAACATACAGAGCCAACTATCTACGAACTGGACACGATCGCTCGAGTCACCCCGGCTATTGCGGATTTAGTAGCCCTACTCAGCACGAATCATGAGCATGGAAATTGCCGCGAGTCCGGATTCAATGGTTCGCTGAATGTATCCCTCGATATCCCCAGCTTCCACTACTATCATACTGTCGAGCAGCGCCTAAAGGATGGACTGTGTACGTTTCCAGAGGCTATACGATGGATGGACGCGGTTGAGAAACGACATTATCAGATTAGCCGTGTGTTTCGGCGATATATCCAACATGAATTGTTACGTCGCGGACACCACGAAACACATATCCAAGTATCCTCTTCCGGAACCGCGGGCTTCGTGTGCCATATCCTCCAGAAGTCATTGAGAGAAGGCGTGCTCGTGTCACTGGACCATGTCTTGCAGCGGATAAGCGCCTACGATCCCGTCTGGAACAGGTTCTTCGAACTTATCACGGAGAAAGAAGAGCCTCGTGATTTCCAGAGCCTGGGGTACCTTTTCTATGTGTACAATATCGCGCGACCAGCTCTACTACACGACGAGATCCTCGATTCCCCGAAACCAAACCCGCTCCTCATCAGCATAGACGACACCATCGAGCGTCGAATCTACCACCGTGCACAGCAATTACTCAAGAAAGTCCGCGCAATGCCAGAGTACCCAGTTACGCCCAACTTACTGGAAATATACCCTAGTCGCCGCGTGTTTATGGACAAAAATCAGACGAAGATGTGTTTATATCGCCATGATCCATCGCCGGAGAGGTTGGATGTGCACTCGTGTAAGTGTCGAAGGGTACTTGCAACCATTGTGGATGGAAATGGATGTGGAGTGCAGGATGGTCAAGTTATGTCGCGGACTGGGGACAAGGGTGGGATGGATGCGTCTGGTGTTGTGGATATGCTTTTCGGAGTTGATGCTGGTACTGTGCTGCGGAAGATTTGTGTGGAGGAGGGATTGATATCCTAAATAGTTACAAAATCAGAACAGAATGACAGGAGAATTGGCATTTTGCTATCTTTGCTCTGGCTCCATTGTACATGAAGAGAACATATCTTGTAAAACCAAGCCTTGATAGACAGAAAAACCCCAGCAGCTAATGGCAGACCATAGCGTTATTCCCCGTTAGATTATAGAGTCTAGTGCAAGCCACAATCGTAGAATTCTATCGAGGCTCCTTATGGCGCAGTAGCGCAACAGCTACATCAAGGTTCAGTAGCTTTGTTTTTCGACGCACAACAACGGAGCTTTGAGGACCACGGTGTAGAAGCTTTCTTAATGGTGGACACGTAGTAGACATGAACATGCTTAGCGGTGCTATTCTCTGCCAGATTCTAATCAGTTTGGCGCTTCGTATTGGCGTTAGTTGAGGGCAAATCATCCCGAGTTTTTGACATTGAAAAAAATTTGTCGGAAAATTCGCTGTCACCCAGTCTTCAGCTAGCAGTGAAAGGCAACTCAAATGCTCGATAGACACTTATGTTAGGGCTGTTTACGCTGCTTTCAGTCGCCCACATCAGCGTTCAGGACGTTTGTCCCTTATCCTCATCTAGCTGACAGGCTTGTACGCAAGCTGTTGGGGTAGCAGACCGAATGAATAGATTATCATCTGGTCAGAGTCGGATTACAATATACCCTGCAGAATGTGAAATATTTCACTCAACACCCCAGAGCCACAATCCTGCCACCATATTTCCATAAGCTGGACTTTCAAATGGGCTCAGGGGGCTTAGAGCAATAGAAATCGCACTTCATGTAGCCAGGCATTTTGGAGGAGAATGCTATTCTTCATTAGTCCATCGTTGGTGTTCGTGTGTTTATTGCATGTCCGACATCTCAACTAAGTAGTCTTGGTGCTGGAATCTTTCCAGTTTACAAAGGAAGCCGCAGCAAAAGTTGTCTCTCAAGAATGCGAATTCTCGCTGCCCCTGTGGGGTGCTTGATATCAATTAAAACACTCACAGGTGACGTGAAATAAGAGTTGTACTTCCTTTCCGCGCATCCAATTAGTAGGGTTATCATGCTTCCGCTGTTATCGCACACGAAAGGAACTGAGTCGCCGGGCACTGAAGATGGATTGCTGCAGAAAGTAACAGCAAGAGAATACTCGTCAGCGGCACGCTTTCTAGCAGCATCGGAGCATGCAATGCTGCTGCTACGAAGGGCAACACAGTATTCCACTTGCTCCGTCAGAGCTCAGAATTGCTGCAATTTTGGTCATGTGAAAGTCATAACTCCTCTCAGCGTGGGTGTATGAAGCGACTGCCATGAAGTTTCCGTGTATCCAATATCTTGAGATATCAGAGCGGTTTGGTTATTGAGGTTGCTCGAGAACCCAAGTCATGATTGATAGACACCAAAAGCTAAACAGTCACATTGGTCGAACTGTGTGAGGGTCGGCGCCTCCTAGTCTGCGATAACTCCCTCCCCCACTGATCCGACATCTGGAAACAGGGAATTGAGGCTTTTGATCTGGGGTTCCAGTCGTCAGATATTTTTGTCCGCAACTTCAAGACTTTTTGTGTCTCTTTATTACGCTAGCAAAGCCACTGTGATGGTTTGCGAACACTTAGATCAGGGGATGTACACCTGCTCCGCCGGAAATTGGGTCCAGACAATCGCCTTCTCGCCGTGAACGATTACCTGATCGCGAAGTATGGGGAGCATGGCTCTCATTCTAGGGCTCCCGCGAAGCAAGAACTCCAGGCACCAGGTGCGCTGCTCCTTGGTAACTGACAAGGAATGCTTAAAGAAATGCACCATTGCTGTTGAGCTCACCACTGCCATCTGATCGATGGACTTGGCCATAAAAGGAGTCACTTGAAAGGTCTTGAGCTTACCAACAACGGTCAAGATGCTTGGGTCTCCCACGAGGACTTGACATAATTCATCCCGAGCCAGGTGCTCAACATCACTAACCTGAAGTCTCCAGAATTAGATCCATATTAGGCTTTGTCGCTCATTTGGGACTAGAAAAGAGAGCCGGATGTCCGTTGACAAATATCACTCCTGTAGATATCGTTCTGATTCTAGATAACTGGAGAATCATGATTAGTAGATCTTCACTGTCAAAGACAATCGTTTCGAGATCAACCGCCTGGTCGTCCTTCGGTTCTGCCGCAGCGACAAGCGCCCAAATTCTGTGTAGCTTCCATTGAAGCTGTAGGATCTCGAACGACGGGGTCGTTGGTTGTAGTTATGGTATCACTAGGACAAAATAAAGCTAGAGTCTCATAATTAAACAATCTTAAAAGTGGGGGTCTTCAATGGGCCAAGTTAGAGTCGCGGTGTCTACGGCACCCCTCTCAACTTGCTACTGCCTGATGTTTGGAGGGAAGATGGCGGGAGCAACGATTCTTCAACTAGACCCAGACTGCTTGGAATATCACGGACTTCGTTCTCACTTGGAACCAGCCAGTGAAATCGGAGTATTAGCAGTTTCTTGTCCGGTGATATGGAAACGGGTTTAAGTGCGAAATAGTGGTAATTCCACTAGGGACGAGCGTCTGGGCTCACCGAGATATAGTTTTCAGCTGCCTGTAATTTGTCGTCCAAGAAGGTTCCCAAGCTCCAACCACTTCATTATACCAAAGGTCTCCTAGGTCAGCCAGAAACAGTCGCCTGGTAAGGTGGGCTTAGCCGTGATGAAAACGGCAGGTCTCTGCACGCAGACGGAAGCCAAAAATTGTACCGTGAGAGATCTCAAGTCTTCTGACGGACCAATAGGCTTTAACGTGGACATGCCACGGCACGCAAAGCAATTTGGATTCTCGGGAATCTCAGTGCCCTTAGGCCCTATCACCTTCGATTTCCAGCAGTCGACCTTCTCTGAAAGGTCTTGACAGGCGGGCTGTTTGTATAAGCATATGGCATGATGAGCCCTGAATCGTGCAATGGATTGACCCCGTTATGATACAGGTTTCAATCCTTTGGCAGTAGTGGATGTGCTGCGGCGATGGACAACTCCAGGGGCGAGAAATGACCCGAATATTGGGAGCAGCCCGACAGCACCATGAACCAGTCATGGGCGAATTATTGCTCCTGTTTAATCTTTCTTCAAATTTCTCGAACTTCTTGATATCGCTGACCCACAAAAATTCCATTTGTCCAGTTGCCCTGGGTCTCGACTTCCTGTTTAAGGACTTTCATTATCTCCTCCATAAGGTGGGAGCGCTTAGAGTATCAGAACTCTGAATTAGGGTCCATCGCGAATGGTGGTACATGTAGTTGGCTATTTGGCTTAGCGGGCCAAGGGAGAGGGAAATGAATCGTTGTTGTGACTTGTGGATTTTGCAAGGTGGCTGGGGACCTCGATTCCCACCGCCTAGTAAGCATTCGTTCGTTCACTTGTCAAGAAGAATTACAAATGGTATGTACGTATAGATATATCTAACAAGAACAAGAAATAAAAATGCATCCTCGACGCCAAACAGCTAGATATCACTCAGGGAATCACAACCGCATAGGTATTTACAGTCATCATAGTCATGTACAAAAGAAAACAAGGTGGAAGGGATTGAGGAAAGAGAGAAGAGAAAGGAATAAATGTCAAACATCCCCCCAAATCCCAAACATAGGAAGATCTTCCGCCATATAAAGCAGGCCATTATCCGGAAACACCACATCCGATATAGGCGTATGGCCGTCTTGGTCCCCACTTATTGGAGCGGAAACGCCAGTCGCCAATTGCCCAGACGAAGTTGATAATGGTGGTGGTGGCTGTAATGGTGGAATCGTGCCGCCGGGTGAGCAGCCAACAGGGATACCGGTTGTGGTGAGTGCGGAGATCGTTGCGGGATCATAAGGAAAACCACCAGAGGGACCGTCACCGCCGCAAAGAGTGTCCCAGACGTCATTGCTGGTGGAATGGTTATGGGGCGTAGCAGTAGGTGTTGCAGTAGTGGTAGGCAGGTCGGACGGGTGATGTTGTTGGGACGGGAAAGAGGAACTTCGAGAAATATTGCCCGGAGTTAGAGGAGAGGGTGCGGCGGGTTCAGGTCCGACTTGGCCGAATAGCTGATCGACTTGTTTGCTGCGGCGTTCCATCCATTGGCGATTCCGTCGCCGGACGTATTCGGCTACCGCTCCTCGGAGGTAAATGATAATCTGGGAGAAACGACAGGCATGGGGGTCATGAGGGGTGAAAAGCTCGAGGAACTTCTGGGCCTTGTCCATGCCCTCTTCTAGTGGTAGGAGATTGTCATAGTCTGCAAAGAAGGCTGCGCCGATAACGATGGCCGAATTGAAGACCGAGTTGATCAGGAATGGTAGCCGCCGTGGCAGGGATGTAAACTTGGCGAGATCGTCGACGATGTCAAGCCCCCGGAGCGCGGAGTAAACGCATGCGTCCGCAAAAAGCGCGATGCGAGAATTACTGGATCGACTCTCGGTTGGGCCAGTTTTGCTTTTCACGTATTGTGATACGCGGTAGATGAGAAACGGCCGAGTTAGGAGGATAATTGACCAGTAATAGGATCCGAAGACGTGGGCTGCTGCCAATGTGCCATCGAGTGTTTTAGAGTCCAATCGTTCTGTTTGCATCCGAAGGAAGACAGGCAAGCTTCGCACCCACGCACGGTGCTGATTAGAGATCGTTTCAGCCACATGGATCGAGACAACCTGCTTCATGTACACATCCGTAAGGATCCGTTCGAAGATACGCGACAAGGTGATGACGGCCACAGAAAGCTGCTCTTGCGGAGTTTGATGTTGCTGCTGTTCCGCAGACGGCATAGCGTCCTCTCGGAGGTCATGGTCAATGTCCGACGTCGCCGGAGGACGCCCTAATGAGGCACTGAGGAAGAGATCCATCATTCGTAAGCTCTTCCACACACGCTCGCGAGCCCGACGTTCTCGACCACAGAACAGTGCATTCGCATCTTTCCGGTGAATACCGACCGCATATGCAGCTCGAAGTGCGGTTCCGAGGTTCATGAACGCGCCATTCCGCCGACATGCACCAAGCATATACATAGAGATCAGCACATATGACTGAATAGTG